CATCTTACGGTATCCTGAGGTCCCTGAGTCAGAAAACACTTATATGTAGCAAATGATTTGCATCTGTTTTAGTCTTGAATTACTGATCCTTAATTGATATTTAATCTATTTATTTGCAATGCTGAAGAAAGGATTTCTAAAAGTTCTTGGAAATACATGCTTAGAGTTTTATTCTTTGGGCAAAAGAGTGCTCAGATAGGCAGTTGGAGTTCATGTTTGGAGTTGAGAAGAGTTAGGGCTAGAAATTTTTTAAAAGTCAACAGTAATATAGAGAAAGTATTTGAAGCCATGAAACTGGATGAAAGAATCTTAAGAGTTAGCATAGATAGAGCCAAAGGTTGAAGGACTGAGCCCTGAGGCCCTATAATATTTAGAGGTCAAGAAGATAAGGAAGAACCAGCAAAGGAACCTGAGAGGGCGTGGCCAAGGAGAAGGGAGAGGGCAGTGGCTCAGAGGCCAGGTGGAGAAAGTACATCAAGAAATAGAAAATGTTTTGGTTGGTTGTTTTTTAGTTTGTTTTGTTTGTTTGTGAATATTTTGGTTTGTGTTTTGTTTTTTACATTTCAAAACATTTTGCTTTAGTTTATTAGAATACTTTCTGAGAAGAAACTAAAACACATTTGACTTTGTCTGCTGGAGTATACATTGTGTGAACTCAATGATTACATTTTTGAGGGTATCTGGACATTTTTTTTTACAGCCCTTTTCCAGTAGAGATTTATCTTCGTTCTTCTTCATGATGGACTGATCCATCACATTCTTTAGCACAAAGCAAGGCAGAAAACTTATCTCAGATTCAAGGGGTGGGGAAACAGACTTTACCTGTTAAAAGGAGTGATAGCCATTGCAAAGGAGTATACATACTGGGATGGGAGAAATCTGTAGCCATTAACTTACCACATACTAAATAATTTTAAGAAGGGGAATCAGATAATCTAAATTTTTATAAGATCTCCCTGGCTATTAAGAGGTGAATGGATTGTACTGAGACATAAGAAGTAGAAGCATCTGGTTGGTTGTTTTTGAGAGACACTATTAGGTTTGTACTGAAGTGAATGATCCTGTAGAGAGGGGGAAATCATATGATGCAGGGAAGAAACTACTGAAATAATGTCCGTAAGGTGGTAAGAGGAGATAAGATCCATTATACGAGTCAAGGGATTGATTTAGATTGTAGCATAGATGGTTCATCCATGCAAGTAATGATGACCCACACTTACACGGTGATTACTGTGTGGCAGGCACTGTTCTAAGCACTCTACCAATATTACTTCATTTGATGCTCACAACAGCCTTATGTGGCAGGTAGGCTTATTATCTCCATGTTATAGGTTGAGTACATTGATGCACAGAGAAGTTAAGTTAGCCCTCTAGATAAGGCCTCTAGCTAGTCCATGGTGACACTAGGATTTGAACCCAAGTATTCTAGCTCCAAAACCATTATCTTGCACTATACAGCACAAACTTGTTTAAAGTTCACTTTTGGTTGTTTCTGTGTTCTTAGCAAAATAGGAAATAAAGTCATCAGCTGAGATCAGGGTAAAGTTATGTGAGTTTTGGGAGAGGGGAGAAAGTGTGCCATCTTCCTGCCTCACCTCCTCTTCCACGCTCTTCACCTTTTCTCCACTGAGCCTCACAGGCCTTCCTGCTGCATCTCGATCATTCCCTTCTCCTGCAACGCTCTTCCGGTATTCTCACATCTTGCCTCTTCACTTTATACAGGTCATTGTTTACGTCACCATCTTGGAGAGGCCTTCGTTAAATACCCTAAGCAAACCAGCCTCCCCATTCAATCTCCAATCCTTTTTCCTGCTTTACCCATATCCTTTCCAGTTAGAAGGTAGACTCCATGAGAGGAAAAGTTTTAACTGTCTTGTTCACTGCTTTTATCCCCAGCACCTGGAGCTGTGCTTGCATATACTAAGTGATCAGTTAATATTTGTGAGATGGATGAAATAATTTTCTTCTGATTATTGACCATTTATTTTTGTCTGAATTTTCTATTCTGTTTTTAAATGTT